GTTATTTTTTATCATCAGACTTTTGTATTTGTTTCAAATAGCCGGTGAAACTAGATTGAATCTTTTTTCAATGGTTTTTTGAAGTTGTATGAAAATTGTATGATTAGCATTTTTCATACAGTTGATGCAGGCAATTGTATGATAAGCTTTTTCGGTGTGGGGAAATTTAAAATAAGCCTTTTCGGTTTATGGATGTCAACCCGGGGTCACACTACCTTTCCAGGCCTTTTTCTTGGTTTTAATCGGTTTTCTTTATAAGACCGGTCAAAAACCGCTCAATAAACCGCTCAAATCTTGCTTGAAAAACCGTTCAAAAATCACCGCAAGAACTGAGCGGTTTTTGAGCGGTTTTTAAGAAAGGTTTGAGCGGTTTGAGCGATTTTTTAGATCAACCGTTCAAAAGCCGCTCAAACCGCTCATTTTGAAGCAAGATTTTGAGCGTAATTGTCTAAAAAAACCGCTCAAACCGCTCAAATCTTGAGCGGTTTTTTTTAGATAAACCGTTCAAAAACAGCTCATTTTGAAGCAAGATTTTGAGCGTAATTGTCTAAAAAAACTGCTCAAACCGCTCAAATCTTATATATTTTCCAGTGGTTATTTTGCTCGAGCATTTAAAAAAAGTCGCTCACATTGTTTTTGGTCGGGACATCAAAAAATTTTTTGCGTGATTTGAGAAAGGTTACGCACTTTTTTTAAATTGTAGATAGTATTTCAACTGCATCTTAGCGTGGGTTGACGACCAAAAATGTTATCCTACAATTTCCATATATGAAAAAATGCTTGTCCTACAATTTTTTACAGTTTCATAGACTCAGAAAATTGTTTAAAAAACTCTAGAATAAGCGTTTTTTCATATAAAGAAATTGTAGAACAAACATTTTTTCATATATGGAAATTGTAGGATAAACAATTTTTCATAAATGGAATTTGTAATATAAGCATTTTATCATTAATGGAAATTGTAAGACAAGCATTTTCTCATTATGGAAACTGTAAGATAAGCAATTTTTGTAAATTTAAATGAGGATCAATTAGCGTTGAAACTTACCCATAAGACGTGCAATCTCTGAACAGAGAAGAGAACCAACCGAAAAATTAGATAGTTTTAGAGGTTGGAACCTCAAATTCTTCATTATCTGTAGAAAAATCTCCTCAACTCTTGAGGGAGCAAAAATTTCCTAAGCCTACTCCTAGATGAACCAAAACCATAAGGGAGGAGTTGTCTCAAAATCCAAAAAACCTGTTTTCCTGATGGAAACATTCTCCAAGCATACATACTTCAGTTGTGATCCGCAAGTTCTGTCATCAGCATAAATTCATTTCCTAAAAAAACAAAATTTTACACGTGCGAGAAAACTTTTAAGGCCACCATCGAAATCATATTTTTTTCCACGGAATTTTTTTTTCAATTCTGTTTTCCAAAAACTGTGAAATTATTCTTAAGAAACCCTAATCCTAACCTAACCCTAACCCCAACCCTACCCTGAGTCAATTTCGGAGAAGAAGAACTGTGTGCTCCGAGCTTCGAGATCTCAGTTTTACTCTTCGTAAGCTAACAATTTGTGACGATTAAAACTGAGCAAAAAAACTGGTTTTTGATAAGCAAGGTGCTTTAAATTGAGCAAAAGCACTCTTAATTACTTTAAACTCGGTTAAAAACAATTTTTAACAATATTCTGAGCATCTTGCCTTTTATGAAAAAATGTTTATCATACAATTTTCATATATGCAAATTGTATGATAACTTTTTTTCTAGTTTCAAATCAAATTTTCGTTTGTGATGAGCAATGTCCTTTAAATTGAGCAAAAGCACTCTTAAATAATTTAAATTTGTTTACAAACAAGTTTAAACAATTTCTGAAAATCTTGCCTTTCATGAAAAAATGGTTATCATACAATTTTCATATATGGAAATTGTATGATAAACATTTTTTTTTCAAAAAAGACAAACGTAGTTATTTTTTATCATCAGACTGTTGTATTTGGTTCAAATAGCCGGTGAAACTAGATTGAATCTTTTTTCAAACTTTTTTGAAATTGTATGAAAATTGTATGATTAGCATTTTTCCATACATTTGATGCATTCAATTGTATGATAAGCTTTTTCGGTGTGGGGAAATTTAAAATAAGCATTTTCGGTTTATGGATGTCAACCCGGGGTCACATTACCTTCCCAGGCCTTTTTGTTGGTTTTAATCGGTTTTCTTTATAAGACCGTCCAAAAACCGCTCAAATATTGCTTGAAAAACCGTTCGAAAATCACCGCAAGAACTGAGCGGTTTTTGAGCAGTTTTTAAGCAAGGTTTGAGCGGTTTGAGCGGTTTTTCCAAAAAAAAACGCCCAAACCACTCAAATCTTGCTGAAAAACCGCTCAAACCAATCATATCTTGAGCGCTGATTCCGATTTAATGTTTCGACTTTGTATTCGTCTTAAATTTTCAATCATTTCGAGTTTTCAAGTTTTGAATAGACCTGTTTTTTATTTCGACTTGACGACTTTATCTCGACCGCGGGTTTTTGGTCATACGCTGAGAGTCAAAGACATGAATACGTGAATAGCAAAGCTTGAAGCGGCTCGTTATGTCGAGTATAAATATTGTTTTGCTCGTTATTATTCATCTAAACTCATGAAAACTTGTTCGTTTTCCTGTTTATGAGACAAAACTGCAAGTCTGTTGATTTTTTCTACATGTAACTCATAACAAAAAGTATAAGCAATACGTTTGATTTTAGGGTTCTGATTTTGTCTGATAATGAGTGTCACTAAAATCAGAGTAATTCTAATTTTTGGCTGCCGCTGTTTACATGGGCGCTACATAATTAGTAGGCAGCATGCAAGCTTCCCCGTCTTCTCGTTGCACCCTGTCATCTATCCATCGTCAACTATCGTCCCGTTTTTAATGACGTCACCTTCGCAAAAATGAAGGTTAAATTGGTTACGTAGCAAAATGTAGACAACTTATAAAGTAGACTAGTCTTAAGACAATCATAATTGAGAAAAAAATATATTTTGGTTTGTTTGTTTCCTTATCTCGATTCTGATTGGCTGGGCAGGTGTCTACTTTCATCAACCGGGCTCTTTTTCCTTAGCGTGGGTTGACGACCAAAAATGCTTATCCTACAATTTCCATATATAAAAAAAAGCTTGTCCTACAATTTTTTACAGTTTCATAGACTCAGAAAGTTGTTTAAAAAACTCTAGAATAAGCGTTTTCTCATATATAGAAATTGTAGAACAAACATTTTTTCATATATGGAAATTGTAGGATAAACAATTTTTCATAAATGGAATTTGTATTATAAGCATTTTATCATTAATGGAAATTGTAAGACAAGCATTTTCTCATTATGGAAACTGTAAGATAAGCAATTTTTGTAAATTTAAATGAGGATCAATTAGCGTTGAAACTTACCCATAAGACGTTCAATCTCTGAACAGAGAAGAGAACCAACCGAAAAATTAGATCGTTTTAGAGGTTGGAACCTCAAATTCTTCATTATTTGTAGATAAATCTCCTCAACTCTTGAGGGAGCAAAAATTTCCTAAGCCTACTCCTAGATGAACCAAAACCATAAGGGAGGAGTTGTCTCAAAATCCAAAAAACCTGTTTTCCTGATGGAAACATTCTCCAAGCATACATACTGCAGTTGTGATCCGCAAGTTCTGTCATCAGCATAAATTCATTTCCTAAAAAAAACAAAATTTTACACGTGCGAGAAACAGAAAATATTCAACACATTCGTAATTAATGTTCATTGATATGATTTCTGATCCAAATTCAGAACTACTCGAATGCAAAAATATCAACTTTTAAGGCCACCATCGAAATCATATTTTTTTCCACGGAATTTTTTTTCAATTCTGTTTTCCAAAAACTGTGAAATTATTCTTAAGAAACCCTAATCCTAACCTAACCCTAACCCCAAACCAACCCCGAGTCATTTTCGGAGAAGAAGAACTGTGTGGCTCCGAGCTTCGAGATCTCAGTTTTACTCGTCGTAAGCTAACAATTTGTGACGATTGAAACTGAGCAAAAAACCTGGTTTTTGATGAGCAATGTGCTTCAAATTGAGCAAAAGCACTCTTAATTACTTTAAACTCGATTAAAAAAATTTTTTAACATTATTCTGAGCATCTTGCCTTTTACGAAAAAATGGTTATCATACAATTTTCATATAGGCAAAATGTATGATAACTTTTTTTCTAGCTTCAAATCAGTTTTTCGTTTTTAATGAGCAATGTCCTTTAAATTGAGCAAAAGCATTCTTAAATAACTCAAATTTGTTTACAAACAACTTTGAAGAATTTCTGAAAATTTTACCTTTCATGAAAAAATGGTAATCATACAATTTTCATATATGGAAATTGTATGATAAACATTTTTTTTTTCAAAAAAAAAACAAACGTAGTTATTTTTTATCATCAGACTGTTGTATTTGGTTCAAATAGCCGGTGAAACTAGATTGAACCTTTTTCAATGGTTTTTTGAAATTGTATGAAAATTGTATGATTAGCATTTTTCCATACATTTGATGCAGGCAATTGTATGATAAGCTTTTTCGGTGTGGGGAAATTTAAAATAAGCATTTTCGGTTTATGGATGTCAACCCGGGGTCACATTACCTTTCCAGGCCTTTTTGTTGGTTTTAATCGGTTTTCCTTATAAGACAACCCAAAAACCACTCTTGAGCGCTGATTCCGATTTAATGTTTCGACTTTGTATTCGTCTTAAATTTTCAATCATTTCGAGTTTTTAAGTTTTGAATGGACCTGTTTTTTATTTCGACTTGACGACTTTATCTCGACCGCGGGTTTTTGGTCATACGCTGAGAGTCAAAGACATGAATACGTGAATAGCAAAGCTTGAAGCGGCTCGTTATTACGAGTATAAATATTGTTTTGCTCGTTATTATTCATCTAAGCTCATGAAAACTTGTTTGTTTTCCTGTTTATGAGACAAAACTGCAAATCTGTTGATTTTTTCTACACGTAACTCATTACAAAAAATATAAGCAATAAGTTTGATTATAGAGTTCTGATTTTGTCTGATAATGAGTGTCACTAAAATCAGAGTAATTCTAATTTTTGGCTGCCGCTGTTTACATGGGCGCTACATAATTAGTAGGCAGCATGCAAGCTTCCCCGTCTTCTCGTTGCACCCTGTCATCCATCCATCGTCAACTATCGTCCCGTTTTTAATGACGTCACCTTCGCAAAAATGAAGGTTAAATTGGTTACGTAGCAAAAAGTAGACAACTTATAAAGTACACTAGTCTTAAGACAATCATAATTGAGAAAAAAAGATATTTTGGTTTGTTTGTTTCCTTATCTCGATTCTGATTGGCTGGGCAGGTGTCTACTTTCATCAACCGGGCTCTTTTTCCTTCCCCCACCTCACTTAAACATGATTTTTAAGGTCTAACGAGTGGTCTTACAAGGTTAATTATGGAGACTATATATGTTTGTCATGGCCTAATTAGTCTACATGCCAATTTTTATGACAATCGGACAAAGTGAACAGTAACTATAAATATAAAAATTGTAGGTGGGGGGGAAGGAAAAAGAGCCATCAACCGTTCTCAGCAACTTTCTGAGCAACCGTTTTAACACGTGTCTGTGTTTTGACCGCATTCCGGTGGAATGACATCACCCGGTTGATCTCAATTTTAGCAGAGTGAAACCTAAATGATTGTAAGAATGGAGTGCGGTCAAATAGCAGACGTCCTAAGCCAATCAGAATCGAGATAAAAAAACAAACGTACGAAATATATTTTATTTTTGCTCGATTCTGATTGGCTTAAGACGTGTCTAGTTTCTGTTACGTAAATTTTAAGAATATGAGTCCGTATAAGACTATCACCTTGCTTGAATGAAATCTCATCGTCGTCTGCTGCAGTGTAGTCGTATATAGCACGGTACGACGCCCCACTCTCCACATATTCAGGTGCATTATTGGAAGTACGAACAACATTTCCGTCTCGACTGGCTGATGGAGGATTGTCGCCTCCTTCTTTCGGGACTACGGGAGCACCTGTAAGGTCTCCTCTTTCCACAACAGAATAACATGAACAATTCTGATGCTTATTGTAATACACTGCCTGATTCTGAAATGTACATAAGATGCATCCCAAATTAATGACAGAGATTTTTCGTATTCAATGAACCGAATCACTCGGCAGCCTTAGATTTAAATACAGAGTTTACAGAGTCCAAAGCTTGCACACTTAATAAATCTTTAAATTGTTTCTGAAAAAAACTCGAGAAAAAAGCTTTGGTTCGTTTTTGTCGGACGACGATTTTACGAAACTAGACGAAACTGTACTCAAAACCTGAACAAAATATTTCAAAAATTTATTGAATATCTGTCGAGTTTTCAAAGAAATTTTGGACAATTATTTACTTGGCTGCTAAGATTTGTTTTTCGAAGGGTATGGTGATAAAGAGAATTAGACTAAAAGTTGTTTTTCGGACAATCTTTTGTCAGCAAGAAAAAGACTTAAATTATTTCATAATACTTATAAAGACCTAAAAAATTTATTACTGATCAAATCTGGTTATTTGTTAGGAGTCGTTCACACTAGAGCAACTCTCGGCAAAAATTGAGTGTGGGTCACAAAGCGTGGTTGTAGCGCGGTGGGTTAGGCCGGCTATAGGGCATTCTCAAGGCGTCCCTCTTTTGATTTCTTGTTTTCTTCTTTTTTGTTTTGCTTTTGTCCTTTTCTCGAAAAAAGAATCTTTTGGTTTGGGTTTGTCTTTTGACTTTTTAGTGTTTTATTTGGTTGTGGTAAGACTTGAAAGTGGTTTTCAAAAGGATAGTTTATCCAGTTTTATCCAGAACCGTGAAATTTTTTTCTTAGTCATGCTATTAGTTTTTGGGTTATGACGTTAGTAAGCTGCATTGGTTATTTCAGTTTACTATATAATTCCCTCCAACCGGGTTAAAGGAAAGTTTGAAACATGCGAATTGAAGTTTGAGTTGTTATCAGTGAAATTTGAAACTTAAAAAATATAATTTAAACAATTCTTCGTGGGCGAGTTGTGCGATTGTGGAAAGAGTGCGTGATTTATGGGCGAACGAATGTTTTCAAATTCATAAAAGAATCTTCTTGGAAAACGCCACAACCAGCGTCAGCACCCCAGACCAGCCAGCCGAAAAACCACAACCCGACATACACCTAATAACCGATACCGTCCGGTCTTAAGTTTCCTTCGAGGAAATTATGTGCACAGAAATCCACGTGGAAGCAGCAACCCCAGAAAAAACAAGACACGAAAGTACAAGCGACAGCACAACGCAGATAAAACCAAGCTCCCGGTACATTGTAGACAAACCACAAACAACAGAGGAATCCTTCAGTAAGAACTTCGAGGAGGCAATGAACATAATGTAAGAAATTTTACCGGTTCCGGGAATTTTTATGACGTTCCAACGAGAAAGAGAAGACACTAAGTAACAAGATAAGAAAATACTATCAAAACCACTGAAAAAAAAACAAGAGGGAGGATGAGTGATATTCATTTAATCAAAAAGAGGGAAATGTTATCCGTACGGATATTATAGTAAAACATCCTTTAATGATGATATAGATTTAGGTGCTAGAACTACCAGTTGGAAACGATTACTTATTATAAACTTACTTTAAATTGATTAAAATTTAGAAGTCTGATGATTAAATAAGTACCCATTTACCTAATTTTTTTTCACCTAATTTGAAGCAAGATTTGAGCGGTTTGAGCCTTTTTTTAAACAATTACGCTCAAAATTTTGCTTCAAAATGAGCGGTTTGAGTGGTTTTTGAACGGTTTATCTACAAAATTGCTCAAAAAACGCGCAAGATTTGAGCGTTTTTTTAGATAAACCGCTCAAAACCGTTCAAATATTGCGCGGCTTTTGAGCAATTTTTTCAGATGAACCGTTCAAAAACCACTCAAACCGCTCATTTTGAAGCAAGATTTTGAGCGTAATTGTCTAAAAAAACCGCTCAAACCGCTCAAATCTTGCGCGATTTTTTTTAGATAAACCGTTCAAAATCAGCTCATTTTGAAGCAAGATTTTGAGCGTAATTGTCTAAAAAAACTGCTCAAACCGCTCAAATCTTATATATTTTCCAGTGGTAACTTTGCTCGAGCATTTGAAAAAAGTCGCTCACATTGTTTTTGGTCAAGACATCGAAAAAAATTTTGCTTGATTTGAGAAAAGTTAAGCACTTTTTTAAATTGTAGATAGTATTTCAACTGCATCTTAGCGTGGGTTGACCAAAAATGATTATCCCACAATTTACATATATGAAAAAAGCTAGTCCTACATTTTTTTACAGTTTCATAGACTCAGAAAATTGTTTACAAAAATCTAGGATACGCGTTTTTTCATATATAGAAATTGTAGAACAAACATTTTTTCATATATGGAAATTGTAAGGTAAACATTTTTTCATATGTGGAAATTGTAGGATAAACATTTTTTCATAAATGGAAATTGTATTATAAGCATTTTATCATTAATGGAAATTGTAAGACAAGCATTTTTTCATATATGGAAATTGTACGACAAGCATTTTTTTCATTATGGAAACTGTAAGATAAGCTTTTTTTGGTAAATTTAAATGAGGCTCAATTAGCGTTTAAACTTACCCATAAGACGTGCAATCCCTGAACAGAGAGGAGAACCAACCGAAAAATCAGAGGGTTTTAGAGGTTGGAACCTCAATTTCTTCATTATCTGTAGACAAATCTCCTCAACTCTTGAGAGAGCAAAAATTTCCTAAGCCTACTCCTAGATGAACCAAAACCATAAGGGAGGAGTTGTCTCAAACTCCAAAAAACCTGTTTTCCTGATGGAAACATTCTCCAAGCATACATACTCCAGTTGTCATCCGCAAGTTCTGTCATCAGCATAAATTCATTTCCTAAAAAAAACAAAATTTTACACGTGCGAGAAAACAGAAAATATTCAACACATACGTAATTAATGTTCATTGATATGATTTCTGATCCAAATTCAGAACTAATCGAATGCAAAAATATCAACTTTTAAGGCCACCATCGAAATCATATTTTTTTCCATCGGAATTTTTTTTTCAATTCTGTTTTCCAAAAACTGTGAAGTTATTCTTAAGAAACCCTAATCCTAACCTAACCCTAACCCCAACCCTACCCCGAGTCATTTTCGGAGAAGAAGAATTGTGTGGCTCCGACCTTCGAGATCTCAGTTTTACTCGTCGTAAGCTAACAATTTATGACGATTAAAACTTAGCAAAAAATCTGGTTTTTGATGGTCAAGGTGTTTTAAATTGAGCAAAAGCACTCTTAATTAGTTTAAACTCGATTAAAAACAATTTTTAACATTATTCTGAACATCTTGCGTTTTATGAAAAAATGGTTATCATACAATTTGCAAATATGCAAATTGTATGATAACTATTTTTCTAGCTTCAAATCAAATTTTCGTTTTTGTTGAGCAATGTCCTTTAAATTGAGCAAAAGCACTCTTAAATAATTTAAATTTGTTTACAAACAAGTTTGAACATTTTCTGAAAATCTTGCCTTTCATGAAAAAATGGTTATCATACAATTTTCATATATGGAAATTGTATGATAAACATTTTTTTTCAAAAAAAACAAACGTAGTTATTTTTTATCATCAGACTGTTGTATTTGGTTCAAATAGCCGGTGAAACTAGATTGAATCTTTTTTCAATGGTTTTTTGAAATTGTATGAAAATTGTATGATTAGAATTTTTCCATACATTTGATGCAGGCAATTGTATGATAAGCTTTTTCGGTGTGGGGAAATTTAAAATAAGCATTTTCGGTTTATGGATGTCAACCCGGGGTCACATTACCTTTCCAGGCCTTTTTGTTGGTTTTAATCTGTTTTCTTTATAAGACAGCTCAAAAACCGCTCAAATCTTGCTTAAAAAACCGTTCAAAAATCACCGCAAGAACTGAGCGGTTTTTGAGCGGTTTTTAAGCAAGGTTTGAGCGGTTTGAGCGGTTTTTCCAAAAAAAACCACCCAAACCGCTCAGATCTTGCTGAAAAACCGCTCAAACCGCTCATATCTTGAGCGCTGATTTCGATTTAATGTTTCCACTTTGTATTCGTCTTAAATTTTCAATCATTTCGAGTTTTCAAGTTTTGAATGGACCTGTTTTTTATTTCGACTTGACGACTTTATCTCGACCACGGGTTTTTGGTCATACGCGGAGAGTCGAAGACGTGAATACGTGAATAGCAAAGCTTGACGCGCGGCTCGTTATTACGAGTATAAGTATTTTTTTGCTCGTTATTATTCATCTAAACTTATAAAAACTTGTTCGTTTTCCTGTTTATGAGACAAAACTGCAAGTCTGTTGATTTCTCATTACAAAAAGTATAAGCAATAAATTTGATTATAGAGTTCTGATTTTGTCTGATAATGAGTGTCACTAAAATCAGAGTAATTCGAGTTTTTGGCTGCCGCTGTTTACATGGGCTCTACATAATTAGTAGGCAGCATGCCAGCTTCCCCCGTCTTCTCATTGCACCCTGTCATCCATCCATCGTCAACTATCGTCCCGTTTTTAATGACGTCACCTTCGCGAAGTTGAAGGTTAAACTGGTTAAGTAGCAAAAAGTAGACAACTTATAAAGTACACTAGTCTTAAGACAATCAGAATTGAGAAAAAAATAAATTTTGGTTTGTTTGTTTCCTTATTTCGATTCTGATTGGCTGTGCAGGTGTCTACTTTCATCAACCGTTCTGAGCAACTTTATGAGCAAGCGTTTTAACACGTGTCTGTGTTTTGACCGCATTCCGGTGGAATGACATCACCCGGTTGATCCCAATTTTAGCAGAGTGAAACCTAAATGATTGTAAGAATGGAGTGCGGTCAAATAGCAGACGTCCTAAGCCAATCAGAATCGATATAAGAAAACAAACGTACGAAATACATTTTGTTTTTGCTCGATTCTGATTGGCTTAAGACGCGTCTAGTTTCTGTTACGTAACTTTTAAGAATATCAGTCCGTATAAGACTATCACCTTGCTTGAATGAAATCTCATCGTCGTCTGCTGCAGTGTAGTCGTATATAGCACGGTACGACGCCCCTCTCTCCACATATTCA